CATGAGAGAGAATGCAACAGAAATGATATGAGCCATACAAGGAGCTATAAAGAAGAGAGTGATCTAATAAAATTGCAGGGTGGGGAAGAGCATTAGAGGATAGTTGGCAATATGAAATATTAAGGTTACAAAAAATGAGATATATAAGGATTTTGTGGCCACCCTGCAGCGGCAAGGTGACAACTAGTAGAAAGGAAAGTTGTACATACACGAGGACAAAAGTTTATCATATTTTTTATAAACAAGAAAGGAAATGGTTGAATACGAGGCCTGGGCTTCCCCCACTCTATTTCCAGTTGGGATAGAACTTCCTTTTCAAGTGAATATACATCCCTTGGAATTTGGAAAGACAAACTTGGAGAGGAAAATGGTTAGCTGAAACCTCTGATAATGTCAAGGAGAGGGCAGGGATAAATTTGGATACGTATGGTTCTGTAGGCCTTGCCGACTCTTCCTAATTATTATAGGGCGCTTGAACAGGGCATGTGCTATTCGATATATAAGATAAACGTGGGGAACTCAAGTATCTCCATATTTTCTTTGGTGTCATTGAACTTAACTTTCTTGCGTTGCTTCCTCTCGATCATTTTCCTCTAATGTTCCCTAATTGACAGTTAGGATTAATTATGTTGTTAGGCTTTAACTTTTTCGAGGGGGATATTAGTAATTGAATGCTGGCTCTGAAATTAGTTTGGGAGGTTTTTATTTGGTCATGTGCCATAGTTGAGAGTTAGAATCAGTATTAATGGGCTTCGACATACACGGTGGGATCAATAATTGAGGATTAGTTTTAAGTATCTACTTCGAGCAACTTGGATACTTGGATAAGAACCGATAACCACCAAATCCTAATCTAACTTAATTTCTCATTTTGAATACTTGGTGATTCCAAAATCCAATCCGAAGCAATTCAATTTTATTGGTGACAATTTTATTGATTCTTTTGAGATCATTAGGCAGTACAAGCATACAATTATGGGACCCATGATCAAGGCAGAGTATCCAAACAAAGATGATAATGAACAGAATTAAGATTTGGGGTTTCGCTCTGGTTGTCAATATTAATTAATATGGATGGAAAAGTTGAGAATCAAAAACAATGAATAAGAAAATAGGAATCAGTAGATTTAAAATTGAAAAAGAGCAGAAGATGCAAAAATAGCTATAGAAAATTAGATGATGATAAATTTAGAGCACTGGATTTGTAATATAAGAAACCTTGTGAGACGCTGAACGCCTTTTTCTCGATAGCTTAGCACAAATTAAATAGACCAATCCTTTACACTCCAAGAAACTCTAGGTTAGTATTCAGCAAATCATATGTTTCCCACTCAAACACTTGTTAGCTTTTTGAAACATAGAAATATAGTTCGTCATCAAAATCATCATCTCTTTTGGCTCTATTGACATCCAAGAAAGGACAAGGGTAAGTAGAGTTTCTATTGACATTTTCTTGTTTTGCTTGCTATGAATGCATGCGGGGCAAGAACTAGACAATCCAATAATAAATTCAGCATTTTAATTAAAGCGTATAACATGAGTTGAGCCTGCAAGCTTAAACCGCCAACCCATAAAAAAATGACGGGTTGGGTGGAAGAAAATGAGTTTAATTAGATGCGTGGTATTTAAAAAAAATAAATAGAAAATAAACAAATGAGATTAGGTTTAAAGTAAAGCATTCAAAGCAAATATACATGGAATTGCAGAGTACTTGACACTTGTACATTTATTTAATTCAAATTTAAATTATGGTAGAAAATAATAAAAACACACTGTTTAATTTGTAATCTGAATATGATCAAGACAATCTTGAATATAATATTTTATTATACTCCATTTCATTCATATAATAGCTTATTTAGATTATCTTGTTTGTAAAATAGTACTAACCAAGCTATCAAATAAAAAAAGTTTAGTTATCATTTTTATTTAACAAAATAAACATATTTATGAAATGCTAAATATATATTATATTATCATCTTAATTTAAATATAAAAAGAGAAAAAATAGATACGAAGATTAGAATGTTTAAGTGACATGAACTGAATGTATCATGATATTTTTTTTAAAAAAAATGAATTGGTATTTTAAAATGATGCATCAATTTTGGAGCAAAAATGCCAAAATAAGATGAAGAGAAAAGGGAATAAACAGAGCATTTCTATTAATTCATATCTATATAATATTAATAATTTATGTAAAAGATTAGAGAATGAAAGATTCACAAAATTAAATTTGTTTATATTTAAGTAGTGATGTAAGCATAGCTTAATTAGAAGAAATTTTATTGTTACTTGGATAATTAGTTTTTAGGGGAAATATATTATTTCTTTAGGTATTTAAAAATTATATTACCACGCGGATTGATAGAATTACAATTCGCACAAAATGCAGGTTATGCTAACCTACTTTGCTAGACCCCTAACCTAAGTTGATCCATATTACCAATTATAGGGAGGGGGATTTCAGATAAAGCACAACAAGAACGAAGGAGATAGAGCCTGCATCACAGCAATCGCGTGGTAAATACAAAACCCTGAATTCGTACTGAAAGCAGAAATAAAATATGTGTTATTTATTTATATATCATGTAGCACTCGTGCGTTTTTATTAAGAGGAGTGGTCCAATACAACTGAATAATAAGTGATCTCCAGATACATTGTGGAGACCACATTCTCTGTGCATGCATCATCATTCAGCACTCCACAAAATGTAATCTTTAGCAGATATGAACAAGATGAAATTTAACCCCCCACACATTTTCCTTTGGCTTGTAACTCATCCTGTGCTTCAAAGTTCAAATGGACTTGAATAATCGTAACTAAATAGTTTAATAAAATAAGAGTTGTCCCCCTCGTGACTTACAGTTTCACTTGGCACCGATACAGCAGCGATTCTGAAGATCATAGAAGATGAGCAAGAAGAAGAGGCTGATAAAGCCTTAGCTCTTAGGCGTGTGGCTGTGGAGGAGGTATCTGCAATTCATTCCATGATTAGAGATAATTGGGGCTCTTTGGCTCCACTTTAGAGATAAATTAATTGTGAACTACTCCCATCATTTATCAATCTCCGGACTTGGTTTATTGTAGTTGTGAGATTAGCCCTTGTGATAAAGGTCCAAGGAAAGCCAGCTTTTTTCTCATGAAAAAACCACAGAAAGCTTGAATTCATCAAAGTTCTATAGCTGGTGATGTGTCTTGGCAGGGAGGGATGGAAACGGCATTATGCATAGGGCGTTCGTTAAAAGGGCATAGTAAACATGAACATCCAACTTTAGTCGGAATGAAAATGAACCGAGTTTTACCCACCTTGTACTCGCCCTACGATTATATATATATATATATATATATTAGGTTGCCCATGTGGTTGGTATCCAGAGTTTTACCTTGATTAATTCAGATCTAATCCGCGTTCTCATCTAATTATAGTGGGTGAGTCTCTCCATAGGAATTTTCTGCATATATAGAGCTTGAATTCGAGACCGACGATTTATACTTAAAACATGTGTTTTTGTCACGTTGTTTGAAATATAATAATGTATATTGCATTTTGGGCTTTTAAAAGTTTCACCTCATTCTTATACCATCAAAATCGATAAAAACTTTTGGAACCATAACGTTTGTGACAAAATTTTTATTTGAAAGAATGATAAAGAAATTTTAAAAGAATAAATTAATTTAAATTAAATTTTAAATATTAAATTTTAAAAATTTGTAACTCAATTTTTTAATTTTTTAATTGTGTTATGATGAATTTATAACTTATTTTTTAAATTTTAACATGATTAAAAATAAAAAAAATTATTTTTCTCGTCAAAAATTGAAATGTAAGTTGTAAATTTATTATAACAGAATTATAAAATTAAGAAATTAAGTTATAAATTTTTAAAATTTAATACTTAAAACCTAACTTAAATTAATTGATTTTTTTAGAATCTCTCTACCATTTTTCTTTTTTATTTTTATATAGAAAAATGGTCAGAATAAGAGCCCATATACCCCCGCGCACCCACACATGGGTATATGTGTTCATGAACTTTTGTATAAACTGTACATCCACTTACAAGCCTAATAAACAAATACACTTAGCCTTCTTTTTTTAATTCCATAATTATTGTTTTTATTTTTATCACTTGTCTCCATATTTTCTTTCTTATGGTTTAAACTTTGATTCACATCAATATATTAGTTCAGTAAAAGTACTATAAGCGAGATTATTATTAGTAGGGCGTAGAAAAAGAATATGGTCATGGAAATAATAGAGACGGGATGAGAAGGGAGGTGAGTATTATAATTGAGTGTACTACTAGAAGATCGGAGAAAATACTTGATCTGAAGCTCATTCATCATTCTTGAATTTAAAATATGAGCTATACACAGACTTAATCTTCATAATGCTTCGTACGACTGGGCCAACGCTATTGGGCCTAACAACTGAGTAACTGCTTGTAACCGTGTAATAAAGCCCGACGGAAACACAACAGCGTACTCCAACACTACATCCTGAACAAAGATTGACATCGAAAGCAAATGTGGGAACTGGGTGGGCAACCCCCACTCCTTGCCCGCCAATGCATTAAAATAATAACCATTTATTAGGATATTATATCAATGAATTTGAATTCGAATACACCGAACCGAATATTCTGATATGGCATCAAGAGGATTGAATGCATTTGTATTTGCATTCATTAAATTGAGATTAAAATTGAAATTCACACGCTCACCACAGATCAACAGAATTTGCACCTGAATTCAAAACAGAAGATTCACCGGCATTAACGGTTGGTGAACAAATCACTAGTACTATTTATGTAGTAAGAAATATTGAGGATCTCTCACGTGAAGTTATAAAATGAATCGAAAGGCGAATTATTAAAAGCGAACACGTAAAGGTCTTCTGGCCAAAAAAAAAAAAAAACACGTAAAGGTCGTTATTTTAAAATAAACACGGAAAAGGCACATGGAGCAGTATATATTGGCAGCCAATAACGTAGCTTTCACAAAAGCTAAGCCATGGCGGCTGCACCAGGCCTCCCCAAAATCCATCCGAAATTTCTGTTTCTGGTCTTCATCATTTCACCAATCTCCTCGGCAACATGGCCTGGGCCTCCCACCAATAAGCTTCCCTTATCCCTTCCTGAGCGACACGCGCAGAAGCTTATTAGAGACCTTAACCTCTGCCCAAAACACTCCACCAGCATTGTAATTCCCGACCCTTTGTCTGTCCCCCAAGGGAATAGGGTCGTTGAGAAGAAGCTTCTATTCCCTAACCTTGCTGCTCCCGCGCCTTCTGTCCAAGACTTTGGTCACCATGCTGGCTATTATTCGCTTCCGCATTCCAAAGCTGCAAGGTAATTCTGTCACCGTAGTTTTCAATTCGTGATCTCTTGTTATCTTCTCTGCCCGGAATGATTATATATGTGTAATAAGAAGAGTCGTCGTGTTAAAGGCTCGTGACATTTCGCAGGATGTTCTACTTATTCTTTGAATCTCGGAACGACAAGAGCGACCCTGTCGTGATATGGTTGACCGGAGGACCGGGTTGCAGCAGTGAGCTGGCATTGTTTTACGAGAACGGTCCTTTCCATATCACACAAAACTTATCTCTTTCGTGGAATGACTATGGCTGGGACAAGGTACCCTCTCTTTGGCGTGCTAAGTTGTTGGACATGAAGGGAGTTGAGTACAAGTTGAAAAATGTTGCAGGTATCAAATATTATATTTGTGGACCAACCCATAGGGACGGGGTTCAGCTACTCCTCCGATCGAAGTGATATTCCCCGTGACGAAGAGGGTGTGAGCAATGCCTTGTATGACTTCCTGCAGGTATCCATATATTAGCATCCCCTTCTCTCCCAATCCGACCCGGCCATAAAACAGAGAACAAAATGTACACAATTCCTTCTTGGATGATAGGCATTCTTTAAGGAGCACCCCAAGTTCACCGAGAACGACTTCTATATTACTGGAGAATCATATGCGGGACACTATATTCCAGCTCTCGCTTCCCGGCTTCATCGAGCAAACAAGGCAAACCAAGGGATTCATATAAACCTCAAGGTCTGTCTTAATTCCTTCGTTTATGATTTCATTAACTTAATTTAATGTGACTATTTGGTTAAACAGGGAATGGCCATTGGAAATGGGCTGACCGACCCAGCAGTTCAGTACCCGGCATACACAGACTTCGCATTGGAGAGGGGTTTGATCCAAAAAGATGATTACAACCGTATCAATCAGTTAGTCCCTCCATGTTTGCAGTCAGTACGAGCTTGCGGTACTCGTCGCCCCCCCTGCCTTCTCTACCTTTACACTCACACCCCACTTCTTTACTCGACTCAGTTATTTTCTTTACAAAATAGGCTGCCAAGTATTCATTTCTGGCTTTAGAAAATATTGATGTTTGTTTTAAGAGAACTGTATAATTCTAACCGGAGAGAAATTTGCTGAATTTTCAGATGACGAAGGGGGAGACGCTTGCTTGTCCTCTTTCACGGATTGCGATGCAATATTCGGGCAGATATTAAGTGTGACGGGCAACATTAATGCATGAAATTTGAGCCGTGAATTGGAATGGCAAGCAATATTGATTAATATAAGCATACATGCTGGATTAAATTAGTAATACGAGAAATTTGTGTACGGGGAGAACTGCAGTATTATGACATAAGGAAGCAGTGCGAGGGAGAACTGTGCTATGACTTTTCAAGCGCGGAGACATTTTTGAACAAGAAGGAAGTGAAGGAAGCGCTGGGCGTTAACCAAGGCTTGGACTTCGTATCGTGCAGCAGCGTTGTATATGATGCCATGTCGCAGGGCTGGATGAGGAATCTGGAAGCGGGCATTCCCGCTCTTCTTGAGGATGGCATCAAGGTGCTTGTTTATGCTGGGGAAGAGGATCTCATCTGTAATTGGCTCGGTATAATCAATCTTTTGATTAATTAAATTTGCACGCAATCACGCAGGCAGGCAGATTAAATAACACGTTTGGATGATTGCACGGTAGGGAACTGGAGATGGGTTCATGCAATGGAGTGGTCGGGTCAGAAACAGTTTGGGGCGTCTCCTAACTTGTCCTTCCTGGTTGATGGCAAACAAGCAGGAACACTCAAAACCCACGCAGCTCTCACTTTCCTCAAGGTTAATTCTTTGTTAAATTTCATGATTGTGATTGTGAAAGCAACGAGTGGTAACTAACTTTTGAGGTTTGTGAATATTCCGACACAAAAGGTGCACGAGGCAGGACACATGGTCCCTATGGATCAACCCAAAGCTGCGCTGCAGATGCTTGAGCTCTGGATGCGAGCCAAATTATCCCTCCAGTGAACACCACTATCGGATATATATACATGGCCCTGATGTCAGACTTCGGAAACAACGCGTAACTTATGTATGTGTAAAAAAATTATTTTCGACTGATGCTTTTGTTTTATTTCCCTTTCATTCATTCTCTTCCAATTATACATGATGATTTTTCTCTACGATTTGCATGACCGATTATTATATTCTTCTTTCGAATTTCTATTATTCATTAGTAAAAGAACAGTTATCAGATTGTCCCATAATACGATATTCATGAATTGATAGCAACAGAAAGGGCTAAAGGAGTACATAGAGCACTACTTAGTTATCAAAAAGGCAAAGGAAAAAAAAGATAGAATGGCAAATAAGGATCTATAAGAAGATTAATATTAAATTAAAATTTTTTAACATTAACATTTTTAAATTTGAGTACTCCTTCTACCATCTTTTAATTATAAAGTTTTTAATTTGATATTAATATTTTTATAAGGTTTTTACTTATCATTTTTTCAAAAAAAAAAAAAAAACAGAGTACTACTTAAAATCCATGCCACGTTCACGTGCCTCGAAATTTAAAACGCTTTGCATATTACAATAATTCAAATTTGAATACCTTTTCATATTCACGTGATGTAAATATATTGGACAACGAAATTTGGAATGAGAATGAAGTTACACATTACATGTATAAAAGATATTTTTTTTCTTTTCAAGTATGGTTTTGAATGAATTAGTGACCCCGGCCGATTTATTTTTGAGCGGATGAATAATTAATTATAAATTTTTTGATAACAATAATTAATTATACGTTAACCCATTGAAATTTAGTCAAGCCCATTTAATTTTTTTTTTGGTCCACTGAAAATGCAAGAGTTTGCCTCCGTTAAAGCTGGGAGACCAGACCATATAATGAAAGCATCCGTCGACAACTATACACTTGCCCAATATGCAAGGGAATGAGAAGCAGCGCGGCTTGTAGACGTTGCAGTTTTTTTTTTAAATAAATTTCATATTCTCTTTATAAATACGTGTGCATGAATATATGTTAAAAAGATTTTATATATTACATGAGACTTATAATCCAACGAAGTCAATGCATCAAAGTCAAATGTTACTTGTCTGGCTAAAATGCAAAGTGATTGAAATAAAAAAAAAAAAAAAGAGTACATAAATGTCGTCGATAATCACTGAAAAATTTGGTCATATAATTTAATTACCAGCAATACTAATGGCTCGTAATTTGTGAATTTATGGATTCAAATTCAAACTGACAACTGCAGGAGCCATAATATAAATTAACAACCACATTGTGGGAGTGACATTCAGAGATCTAGCATAGCAAACCATGACATCATCATCAAGCCTCCTCCAAATGTCTCTACCCTTTATCTCCTGCGGCTGGCCATGACCTTCCCTCATCTTCAAGATCCCGGTACCTTGAAGAAAAAGAAGTACGAAGGACCTTGTTGTGAACTGTGATGTGCTTAATGTTGTAGCAATTGAATGTGTATTTCTTAAAAGAAGTTCCACATTGCGTAAATGAAAAATGCTCCTAATTTATAAATACTAAGAGATGAAATGGAATAATAAAATGAGCTTAAAGGGGAAGTGGGTTCGCGCTCACAAAACAGATAACTCAGGGCAATCATAGTTAAAAACAATCGATTCACCCCCTTGTGCGCAAGTTTAAGAGGCATTAGGTTCTTTTTACCGAATTATTTTTGCAAAAAATAAATAATTATTTATTTACATGAGCTTAATGAAAAACCTCATTTTTTAGTTGTCAAGTTTGAATTCAAACCATAAACATTTTTTGGCCTTTAAACAGATTCTTGAAACAGATAAATAAATTCCTTAAACGTGTTTGTCCTCCCAACAGCTCCGGACAAATGTTTGAATTTATGTTTGTGTAACTAGGATTTGTAAATGCTGCCCAACGTTCATCCAAGATCTTGGCCTATATATAGGCATGCATGCGAACTGAACTCGTCACTAGCCTCTTGAGCTTTCAAGGCCTTTCTCTCCTCCTCTAAATTTCACTGTGTTCTTGTTCTTCGTCTGAGTTTATTTCCTATTAGTGCTATTGTTCTAGTGTCTTGATTGTGCAGGAAGCACTTGTTTAATTCTAAAGAATTATCGGTCTGTCATCCCAGTATGTCAGAATAATTCTTAAGGACAGTGTCCTTCAATACGACTCAAGTTGATCAGCTCTCGATTTACCTCCATACAGACAACACTTAACTGGTGGACCAAGTTATGGCAGTGAACTAGCTTTATTTTATGAGAATGGTCCTTTTCATCATATTACACAAGACTTGTCTCTCGTATGGAATGACTATGTCTGGAACAAGGTCTTCCGTTTGTTTGTTCATCACACTATATATGGATTGTTTTGTTGAGTGTTCAATCAAGACGTATTCAATCCCTCATCATTTTAATTTTGCAGGTGCTAAATATTCTATTTATGTGTAGACCAACCAATCGGAACAAGTCTTAGCCATGACGAAGAAGGGGATAACAATGACTTGTATGACTTCTGAAGGTAATTAACGGCAACAAATTCAAGGTAATCTTGCTGTGTAACAATCAATCAATTGAAATGGTGATTGAGTTTGAAAATAATTATGTTAGGCTTTTTTCAAGGAGCACCTAGGCATTACCTCTCGATAAGGCTGCATAAAAGACTGGATGGCATTGGACTTTGGTCTAACCAGAAGTCTGGTCTCTTTCATTAAAAGAATTAGGTTAGGCAACTCGTAGTCTGGTCTTGTCCATTGATAGCCTAGAAATTAACAAGACTAAACTTGATCCATATGATTAAGAGACTGGTCCTATTAGTATAGTATGCAATTAGTTTTTTTTTATTTCAGCCTAATAAACTTAATTAAGATAATAAAAATACTTATAATGATAATAATTTTCAACAACAAGAAAAATTATTTCTTTTATAGTCTAAATGATTTAATTTTATAACTACCAAAAATAACACTCAACAAATTTCAACAATACTACATTACAACAGCAATTTTAAAACAAATTATTATCATCTCCTTAACATCAATTACACTTGAAGCATTTGTCAAAAATAAATTAATTATAATTATATTAAATAAATTAATAGGATAGGACTAGACTAAGTGGTTCAGATGCCGAGTTTTCTGTTTGGTCCAACCCCAATAGATAGTTTAGTCTTTTCAATTTTTTTGGTTTTGAAGGATCAATGTTTATACGATCAGCTAAGACCGGAGGACTTTTGCACAGTACTACCTCTCAAATTCATCAAGCCAATTCATATTAATCAACATTTTTCATATTGCTCTTAATTATGTGCATTATTAGAATGAACTAATTAATTAGTTATTGGTTGAACAAGCAGGGGTTTGCTATTGGGAACAAGGATACCAAGCCTGTAACTCAATTCGGATTAGTGTATTGCTATTGGTTGTATTGTTAGGTGCTTTATTTTTTCTTTACAGGGGATTAGTGTGTGTAATATTTTTTTGATATTAATAAAATTGGTTTATTTTGCTCCAAAAAAAAGAGCCTGTAACTCAATTCGGAGCTCATATGTACTCTGCGTTAGAGAATAATATAATTAATGGTGATTATTATAACCACATCACCAAGATGCTTGCCCCATGTTTGATTGCGGTATTATTACCTGCCCTCGCCTACTTAGCTCTTCTGCTTTCTCTCTCAGAGCATTTTTTTTAATTTTCAATCATCTTTTTCTACAGTAATTCATTTGCATCACATTAGTTTAAAAATTAAATTAAACATTTAAAAATTAGATGGATTCTCATATTTTTTAAAAGCTCTTATTATTCAAATATTAAATTGTGATGAAATCTACAATGAATTGATTTAACTAATTTTTTAAAATATTTAATTTATTTTATATTTCTACTGTCAAATAAATTCATATAAAAGTTGTTGTTGATGATGATAGTTAGTTAGTTAGGTAATTAAGGTAGAATGGCCTTTTAAAAACATGCAGGCCAGTCACCGCTTTTGCCTTAAAGAACCAAGAGGAATCCTTACAATTGTAAGGGTCCCTTTTGCTGTAAAAGACAAACTATGATTATTTTATTTGTAAGAACTATAATTAAAATACATCTGTTTAATCAAAATATCTCATTTATTATTACATGTGATACATACAACCTATGCTATGAAGTCTCTTTCTAAGTCAAAACAGCAAATCAAATTTTTGCTTTTATCACAACAATTATAATGAAATATAATAGATCCAATTCATTTAAAACTCCTTAATTAAATTAAAAAAGAATTTTTTTAAAATGCACCAATCTAACTTGTTGATTTGATAGACAAAAAAGGCGCAGAAGTTCGCGAGTCCGCTTACAGTAATTGCAATCAGAACATATTCGGCAAAATCGACTAGTTGAGAATGCAAAATGATATGAATAAAGTATCGAGTTTACCATAAATCTTGTAATAATCTATGCATGCTTACTTGCCGGCAATACTGTGATATAAGAAAGGAATATGAAGGACCTCTATGCTATGATTTTTCAAGCATGGAGCAATTATATTCCTAAACAAGAAGTGAAGGATGTATTAGGGGTTGGAGACTTGAATTATGTTTCATGCAGCATGGTAGTATACGTAGGTATGAGAAACCTAAAAGTGGGTATTCCTGCTCTTCTTGAGGATGGTATCATGATGCTCATGTATGCTAGCTTGGTAAGCCTTTCAAATCCCAAGTGCTTTTTAAGGAAACCTTGATTTTATTCTACCTTGTTTAGAAACGCAAGATGGGTTCAAGCGTTTGAAATCTCCAAATGTGTCCTTCGTGGTTGATGGCAAAGAGGCAGCCATGAACCTCTAAGTCTTCCCGAGGTTTGTGCTATATAGACAATGCATTCATTCTTAATTTGATTTGATTTTTGAGAATGAATGAGTACAGGTCCATGAGGCTGAACGTACACATAGTTCCTAGGGATCAACCCAGGGTTGCACTAGAGATGTTGATGAGGTGGATGGAAGGAAAATTAACTATGACATGAAGAGGAACAGATACCTAGCTAGTTAAAGTCATTTCTTATGTACATAAAATATGTATCAAAGGTCTGTTTGGCTGTTAAAAAGGATGATAATGGACTAAAAAAATAAAAATAAATTAAATCACTCTTCCTTCTCATGATAAACATGATAAACATGATAAAATTTAATATTATATATATCACAAATGTGGCAAGCATCATATCTTTTAAAAAATCATGAATTATGACTCTCAATTTTATAAACTAAATTGCCCTAATCCCTTATGAATATGGTTTACTTATCTCCCTTTACATTTTGATAATCTTATTTTTATCCTTTTTTTTTCAATCTATTCAATTCCCTCTCTTTCTAGAAACCAAACAAGATCAAAATATAGAGCAAACTGCAAGAGCACATGTTTTAATTATTTATGGTGTGAATATGAAGACACACTCTAATGCTTTCATACCTCACAACACTCTCAGAACATCCCGCATGATTTCTCTATGGCATGTCCTAAAAGAGAGTAGGGAGGCACGTCCTAAAAGATAAGAGGCAAAAGAGAGCGGTGAAGAACCTATTGAAGGAAGTCCTATCAGATTTGGTCAAAGACCTTCTTTAAATCAACTTTTATTGTAAAGAATCCCTTTCGGCACTTTGACTTCTTCATAATATGCATGAGCTCCTGACCAATGATGATGTTATCTTGAATCTGTTGCCTTGGGATAAAGCTAGCTTAGAAGGGGGAGACAAGGTTATTCATCAAACTCCTGAATTGTTGATTTAGGATCTTTGTGATACATTTGTAATGCATAGTACATAATGAGATAGACCAAAAATGTGTCACTGAACTTGGATTATTTTTTTAGGTTAAGGAGATCAGTGTCTTGTTGGCCTTAAAAACAATAACGTTACCTTTGAAGACATCTTTGATATAGGAGCAAAACACTGGGCCCACTACATCCCAGTTGGATTGAAAGAAGATTGTTGCAAATCCATCATAACCAGGAGCCTTGTAAGAGCCAATGGAAAAGATTGCTCTCTTAATTAGAGAGGCATGTCCCGAAAGATAAGAGGCAAAGGGTGTCAGCCTAAAATCTTATTGGGCCAATTGAATTATTAAGGAAACCAACAAAATCCAATATAGTCCATTTACTGAAATCTTATATTGGGAGAATGGCCAAATTTTTTTTTTGGGTAAAAAGTGGGGCAGTGCCTAATAAATTGAAACACTAGTTAGAAAATTGGGAGTGAATTCCTATACAATCATAGAGAATCAAGTCCTTAAAAAATAAAGGGACATTATAGTAATAAGAAGAGACTAACAATGCCTCTTTTGCAAGTCTATTAGCAACCTTTTTTTTGTAAACTAAAGATATATGCTAATTTGACCTCCTAGTTGCTTCTAAGGAGCTTTAAAGTTTCAATGATGACAAGACTATAGGGGAAAGTTCATCAAGGTTAGAATTAAGAATATCCATGAAGGTTTTGTAGTTTGACTAAAGAGTGACTTTCTTAAATCCTATATCCCAAGCAAGTTGCAAACCATTAAGACAAGCCCAAGCTTATACATCCAAGGGAGAGCACTACCCCAAGTTGAATGAGAAACTAGCTATTCAAGAACCCAAGTGATCCTTTAGTGCCCCCCATCCACCATTTGAGTCCAATTGAGAAACAGCACCATCCATAAAGATTGATATCTCGTCATTAGAGGAAGGTAACCAGAGTGAGGAATTATTCTCTATATTACGATCCAAGATAGTGGCATATGATTTTCAAACAGCAAAAATGTGAGAAACAAGGTTGATAGGTTTATGAAAAGTAGGGTCAAAAATTGAATTATTTCTCTATTTCCAAAGGTGCCAAATTGAGTCTCCCTAAGAAATATCCCAGTCAGAGTTAGTGGAGCAACTCATATTTATAGTTAGGTTTAAATGTATCCAATCACCAAGTGAAGTAGAGAAAAAATAAGAAAGGTACCGTGGGTGTACAAGTTGCTGCCAAAGGGAGTGTGTAAAAGTGCAATCTCGTAAGATATGAAGGGCATCTTCTTGCTCAATATGGCACCAATTACAAAAGGGAGAGGCATTAGACCAAGAGCTTCTCCAAAAATTAATAGGGAGCCTGTTGTTGAGAACCTTCCATAAGAATATGTGAATTCTCTCAACTCCTTTCTACTTCCATATCAGTTTAAAGGTAGGGGAGTAATAGCTTGAAAGGTTTCTTCTATTAAAAAATATGTACTTTTAAGGGTGAAAATACCAGAAGGAGTTGCATTCCATGTCATGATATCATTGCCAGCAGAGTATGAGGGAGGAAGAATTGAAATCAATTTGAGAATGATGTCCCGAGGAAGAACACGTGCTATGTTAGTAAAGTTCCATGAACCATGCAATACCCAATTTGCAACTTTACTTTGCTCCTCTTCAGGTGATAAGGACCTAGTGCAGGGATCTTTTAGCTTTGTGTTCCTAATAAACTAATGGTCATCGAAGAAGGATATATTCAAACCATTTTGAATTTGCCATTTTGTGCCCTCTTTTATAAAATCACTTTGTTGGAATTATAGAGAGAGAAAGGATAATATTAAAATTGGCGTATTTAATAAAATTTTAATTTAGTCAAAGTATCTTATATTTTAGGATTGATAAACTCTTTCAAAATTGCCCTATAATTTGGGATAGAGGGAGTATAATCTATATTATAAATATAAAAGGTAAAATGATACTCCCTTCATTCAAAAATATAAAGCATTTTTTAAGATGTTAGATGTTAAAAAATACAAGGCATTTTTAGTTTTTCGAGGTGTAATCAATTCTTTTTTTTCTTCAAAAATATCCCTATTGATAATGATTCTATATTTATTGTAGGACATTTAATAAGGATAAATATAAAAAGATAGGGTTAGTTGAAAAGTAGGTAATTATTTTATTAAAGAGATGAAATTCAATTAAAAATGCCTAACATTTTTGAACAGAGGGAGTAAATGTTTTTTACAATACCAAATTGTTTATATTTTGGACTAAGATTAGTTATGAGAAAATGCTTACTCCTCTAGGCTCATAATATTAGTCATTTTTTAAAAGTTTTTTTTGGTCCAAAGTATATGTCATTGGGTAGGTATTATATATATTTTTTCAATTACACCTTTACTTTATGAGTAATTACTGAGAGTATTTTAAATAAGTCAAATGTTATATTTATTAGTCAAGAGCATGATTGAAAAGATGTGAAAATTTTTAAAAATCAACATCTTAACTAACTTTTTTTAAAAAATAAAAATTAGTTAACAATAATTTATATTGTAGTCTTGAGGGAGTATATTTTAGATTGGAGGGAGTAACTATTTACTGTTGAAAAGAACACTATACTAATTTACTAAATTTTATTGACAGAAGTATAATTTTGAAAAATGATTAAAAATTTGGATACATTTAATGAGAGTAAATACTTTTAAAAAAATTTCTCTGTCTGTTCTCTTATAAAAAAAAAAGGGTAGGAGAAGGAGCACTAGTAGTAGCCAAGTACAAATTAAATTTCAGATTCTCTTTATAACTACATGTGCATGAATATGCATTAAAAGATTTTATATATAATAATGAGTCTTTATTGTAAATGCATCAAAGTCAAATGTTACTTGTTTGGCTAAAAGACAAGGTAGCTGAAAGCAACAACCAGTAAAAACAAATGCCAACAATATTCTGTTGTAAATTTGATTACATATAAAACTTAAGTAACTAGTAGCAATTATGTTATTTAATTTATGGTTCTGAATTTATGGATTCAGGCGTTCAGCTATATATCGAGTTCAGGCTCACATTAATCGGCAGCTGCAGGAGCAATGCTATAAATTAGGAGCCGCACAATGGGACTTGACATTCGGAAACTAGAGTGGTCGACAATGAAATCAACATCAGGCAACCTTCAAATCTCTCTGTCTTTTCTCTTGTTTGTCTTCGTTTCACCTTTCTCTTCTGAGGCCAACAATAATGACCTTCTACTCTCTTCAAGATCTCAGTACCTTAAACAGGAAGCAGAGAAGCTGATCAGAGAGCTTAACCTTTCCCCAAGACATTATAAACACTCTGTACCCCATGACTCTCTCCTAGTCCCTGCAGGCAAGATCGTTGAGAAAAAGTTCATCAGATTCCCTAACCTTGTCCTTGATGCAGCTGCTGGGCCTTCTGTTCAAGACTTTGGTCGCCATGCTGGCTATTATGGACTCCCACATTCCCATGGCGAAAGGTAATTAATCCTAATTAATCCTTGTGATAATATTGTTCTGATTATAATTTAATTTCAAAGCTTTATCCATCGTGTCATTTGCAGGATGTTCTACTTATTCTTCGAATCCCGGAACAGTAAAGCTAATACAAGATTGCTGTATTATGATCATCACTTGCCCTCGCCTATTTAATTACCTCTTCCACTTTCTTTCTCTAAACTTTCTTGAATATTTCCTTCCTCTTTCTACCTCCATTCGTCTTGCATCAACGAGTTTAAACGTTAAACTATATATTTTAAAAGTTATTAGATACATCCTCAAAATTAAAAAAAAATACATAATTTAAATATTAGATTGTGATCGAATCTATATATTGAATTGATCTAATTAATTGTTTTAAAAATATTTAATTCTACGAAACTCGATAATAATAGCAAATTAAGGTATAATGGCTTCAAAGAACATATATGTGGGTCTCCACCTTCGCCTTAAAGAAGCCCAAGAGGAATCATTTTGAGCTGTAAAGATCTCTCTTGCTACAATAGACAAACTATAGTTATAATGCGCCGTTTTGATCGAAATATCTCATATTTGTTATTAACATATATGATATACACAATCAATGCTTATAAAACCTGTTTTCAAGTTCAAACAAATTAAATTTCAATGAAGCATGAAATAGATCCAAGTCATTTAAACATCTAGGATACAAAAAGAATAACTTATTTATTTATCGGGAGACATCTAAATTCATGTTTAATTGATAGGGAAAAAAGGTGGAGATGCTTGCGAGTCTGCTTTCTATAATTGTAATCAAAACATATTTGAACAAATCTTGGCCGCTTCTGACAATGTTAATGTAAGAGACTGCTTGAAAATGCAAAGTGACGTGTATACTTAATTTGAGTTTATTTATGCATGATGCTTGTAATTTCTGTGCAGTACTATGACATAAGAAAGAAATATGAAGTAGTGCCTGGGTGCTATGATTTTTCAAGCATGGAGACATTCCTAAACAAGAAAGAAGTGAGGGATGCTTTAGGTGTGGGAGACCTGGAATATGTTTCATGCAATCAACAAGTATACGCTGCTATGAGGAGTGACTGGATGAGAAATCTGGAATTGGGTATTCCTGCTCTTCTCCACGACGGCATTAGAATGCTCGTGTATGCTGGAGAAAAGGATCTTATTTGCAACTGGCTCGGTAAGCCTTTGAAACCCTAAACGGGAAAAAAACTAAAGCTCTCTTATTTTGAGATAATCTCATATTTTATTCTCTTGTACTTAATTGGCATTTTGCAGGAAATGCAAGATGGGTTAATGCAATGGATTGGTCAGGTCAGAAGGCATTTCTAGCATCCCTAAATGTGTCCTTCGTGGTTGATGGTAAAGAGGCCGGAAAGTTGCAAAGCCATGAACCTCTAACTTTCCTTAAGGTTTGTGCCATGGAGTTGATATAATATATATATATATATATATATATTGGCCACATTCATAGTCTGAGGTTTGTGAATGAACTAACAGATCCACGAGGCCGGGCGCCTGGTCCCCATGGATCAACCCAAGGTTGCGTTAGAGATGTTGACGAGGTGGCTGCAAGGAAAATTAACCCATCACGACAAGAGGAACAATAATGCCTAGTTAAAGTCATGTTTGCACACAAAATATGCATAGAAAATAGTTCAAAGGGTAAAAACCCTTGAACAAATATTTTTATTAATGTGAAATTTATGTTCTATATGTTCATGCTGTTTTCTTCCTTCCCCCCCTTCTATCAAAAGAGATGTGATGCAGTGAACATGGGAACTATAAGAAACAATTTCAAGAGAAAAGAGAGGAAAACCTAAAATGCAAAAAATTCGCTTAACAACATATAATCTTTGATTCTTAATGCCTCCATTCATATATATGCGCACTTGTATATTAGCCGTATTTTCAACTCTATTTTTAGAATGACCTCTCTTTACTCTATATTTATGCTTATACTCATAACAATGGAATAAATTTATGATATTTAGAGATTGAAATTTTAAATAAGAACGAAGTTGTAGATTCATAAAACTGTAAAGAAGTTATTTCTCGAAAATAAATCATTGGTGCATTTATTTAATGAAAACAGGTCCCAGACAACAAGAAGAAAAACTTAATTAACAAAATGGCTTTGGCCCAAAGAAAGAAAAAACAAAATGGGCTGAAGAGCGAAGGTATCCAAACGTGGGTGTATGGTGGAAAATAAGACTTTTGTCTTAGATGCAACTAGGCTGGTTAGCGATTAAAGCCCAAAGCGGTCTCATTCATAGTGGGGGAAAAAGGGTTATCTATGAGACAAGATAACATTCTATTCGAGATCGCGGAGGAAACCCAATTTTTGAATGGTATTTTTTTGAAGGGAGGTCCGGGTCACTTTGAAAACAGCTTCGGATAACAAAGCAAGGCATGTTGCTTCGGAAAGCCGTTGGGCAACCAAGCGCCAGTTCTTTCTCTTTCGCATCTTTTTCTTTCGTCCATTCGTTTCTTCTCACAATCAAAACACGAACACAACGAAAGAAAAGCAGATTCAGAAGCATAAAAGATCTCATTAGCGTCTTTTATTCTGATCTGTTCCCATCCTTTATTCTCATAAAGTAAAATCGCTCACTGTCTTTAACGCCTTTCATCCGAAAAATCAATTTCTTGCCGTGTGTCAGTTTCAATACTCTTCCTTCGTCCCTTCAAAACCTCAAAACGCTCCTTCCTCTTGTTTCTCACTGTCGTTCATTTCTTGGGTTTCTCCTCACTCTCTCACTTTATATGAATTGAGAAGTATGAAAGGGGAGGAGATGGCGAAGAGATCCATAGGAAGTTTAATGCGGAAGAAGCTGTCTGATATTACCAATTCGCAGCCCCAACCTAAACTGCCCAGTATTGAAGAAAATCTGCCGGAGAATTTCCCCGCCAACAAGGACTGCATCGAGCATTTGCTGAAGGTCTTCTTTTTGTTCATTTTTGGTTGGCATTCTCAGCTTCCATGCGATCCTAGTCTTCTTTTTGTTCATTTTTTAATCCCCATGAATTTCTGTTGCAGGAAAGAGTGACGCTGTTGCAGCTCCTCGCGGAAAGAAAGTATCCTTCGATCATTTGCTCTTTAGATTTTTGTTACTCTCTTGCTGTAATTTGTCGGCAAAACAGTACGTTAAACATTTTGGGATCTGAGTAAATTTGTATTGTTGGGTGCAAATTCAATTTATCTTACTTCCTCAGTTATTGTCAAAATTGCGGAGAAATCAGTTTTTCTTCAATGAATATTTCTACAGTAAAATTATCGAATTGACTGGAGCTGAGCTGCAGAGACTGCGAACCAATATTCAGAAACTGCAGCTGCAAAATTGGAATCTTGCTCAGTCAAACAGCCATATGCTAGCGGTTAGTCTCCAAGTTGCATTGTGAATCTAATGTAAATATACAACGGTTATAAGCAGGCAATGATATTAAACAAGTCTAACTGATTTTGCCAGGAACTTAATTTAGGAAGAGAAAGGGTGAGTCAATTTCTCCAACTTCACTGAAATATAAGCTGTTGGAATGTGGAGAGCTGTTAGTCTAAACACGGATAAAAGGATCCATAAACTCAAATATTGAGGTTTTTGAGTTAAGGCCTTAAGGGGGTCATTCCGCTCCTCATTCCCGCTTCTCTCGCCCTGTTATTTTCTGTCCGGTTTCTGGGCAGTTACTCTTCATTTCTAACATAAACTATTGACAGAGAAGTTGGACTTAAAATAGCGCGTCTGGCTAAAATCTTTTTGGCAATCCTTATTTCAGATTAAAGCACTGCAGCATGACATTGTATGTAGGGCGGCCTTACTTAAAGGGATGAACTTAGGAGGGGAGGTATGCGTCTTCTGAACTCTCATCCAGGGCAATTTGATTTACAGAAGCATTCAGTCAGCATGCCTTCTAATAACTTAGGTCCAGCGTCCTGGACACGTTATGTTATCAGAGGCTACTCCAAGAAGCATTTAAATAGTTCTATCCAGGGAGGCGGAATCACCATTTTTCTAACATCAAAATCATAATTTTTTTAGTTTAACTAAAAGCTGATGCTGTCCTGTTCATAAGAATCTATCTCAGGAGAGATATGTTGTGCTGAAAATTCTTGTCATGACATAAATACACGATTAGGAGTCTTAATGAATGATTAGGTTCATTCTTGTTGCAATAAAAGTGATGACGTTTGGGAAAAGGATTGCAGTATTTTGCAGCATTCATCTTGTTAATTTCGTTTTCCCAATGAATCATCTCTGCAGGGTGAAGTGAAGACGAGGAATGAAAATAATATACCATTGCCTCAGGTTCCCAGACTAAAACTCACATATTCATTTCCCAAACTACAATTAGCATTGATGGCTAGTATTTCACATGAATGTTTACATGCTACCCGTGTTGATTGACTAAAGGAAGTAGAGGAAAACGCAGCACAGCCATCACCTAGAGCTAGCTACGAGAAAAAACACAGCAGCCGAAACAGACGACGAAACATGAGGAGATGTAAATTCTCGGACTAAAGTTCTTCCTCTGAAAATTTCTTACATTTTGTTTGTTGTTAAATCCGTTTGTCTGTGCCACGGAATCATTATGCAGCCACTGGTTCTTCTTCGAACTCTTCCACAAGGGATGCATGCAAAGAGAAGGCCAAAGACAAAAGGTGAGTTCACATTTCAATGTCGCCAACAGTACTGAGTTCATGTCTCTGGAAAACATTTTACAAAAGTCCCTCTCGTGTCTCGTCTGGTGCTTTAGGCCAGGTTTGCGAAGACATTCTGCTAAAGTCACAACACATGAACGCGAGGCGTTGGAGGATTTGTTCGAGATAGAAGATGCCAAGCATCCCGTCACCGGAGAAAACTCGGGCTTAGGAAAGCAAGGTCCAAGATCTTCATTTGGAAGACCGTTGCGCAAAGCAGCCGAGAAGGTTCAATCTTACAAGGAGATTCCTCTAAATGTCAAGATGCGTCGACTAGAGTAACTCAAATCAAGTTGGAAGTATATTCTTAAGCGTGTTAACCTGTTTTTCTGGTCATTTGAATTTCTCTGTGGTTTTTTTTTTTTTTTTTTGAGGGGGGTTATTTGGGGCGCTTGGGTGTGTGGGTTCCAATTGTTTTGCGTCGAACTTGATCGCCGTGTTTATGGATTGGTGTACATGTAATGTTAAAGTGTTGGAGCTGGGCTTCAAAAAGGTGATACGGGCTAATTTAATTGGACTAAGCTTTTGAGACCCAAAACAAAAGACGACAAACATGGTTGAAAAGAATGGCAATGCATGTGGAGGGCATGTGAAATGAGGCAGATAGTCAATAACACAGGGGAAACCGTGTGGGGCCTCCTCTGAAGAGCTTTATCTTTCCAAATATGTGCCAACTTCAGGTACTAATCCTTTCTTTTTGGTGTTGTTTTGTTTGGACAATCATGTGAATCATAACCCCACAACATAAGACATTTTCTGCGCCCCCTTCATCTGTTGCACCGAACAGGAAAAACAAAACGCCCGAAATTTCAATTGGCCTCGCCGCAGTATCTAAAACAAACAACCAAATCTAATTTACTCACATGCTTCCACTTTTTGAATATAGGGGGCATCATGCCCACTCTCTCTAGAAAGGCTAATCCATGGCGCTTTTTTTGTTTTCCCCCTTGTTTAGATCCTTTAAAAATACAAGTTATGTAAAAAAAATATTTCTCTACCAAATTTGCAATGAAGTTCAATTCATTCACCTGTTTAAACAGCTGCATGGATTGAATTACTCTGTTCAAATAATTTGGTAATTTGTAGAATCTTTAATTCAACAAAATAGTTTATACAAATTCTCCTCGCAAGCGAAGATTTAGGGGGTCGGAATAATAGGACAAATGGGCCGTCACTTTATCAGACTTGGAGATCCAAAACCGCGTGAATTCACGGACTATTTTGGAAACTTTCGATTTCAAGAGAAACCTTTTTGCCCTGCATTAAAAAAAAAAAAAAGAAAGAGGGCGAAAAAGAAATCTTTTCCCTCCAAACTAAATTTGGATTTACCCCAGCATTTTACATTTGTCATACCAAGATGTTTCACCTTTTTTCATTGTAGTCAACATAAACGCAAAATCTCGACTAAGTTAATCTCCATTTTTTCCTCAATTTGCCTCGTGGAATTTCCAGCCTTTTTTTTTTTTTAGTAGCTGAATTTGGGCGATGAGGGCAGGTCTCAGGAGTCAAGACTCAAAAAGAATTTTTATAAATTATTATAAACTCGATTAAAGAAAATTCCAATGTTTACCCTATTCACGCGCCAATTAATTCACAACTGGCTTTGTTAGAATTTTTTGTGGAAGACGACATATTTCTCTGAAATTGTTATTTCAATTTCAATTTTGAATTTTTGTCATCAAGTGCTATTCAAAATTAATTTATTATCTAGTTAAAATATTTCTATTATATGAATATATATCCCGTACGGGGGAAATTCGATCTAGTTTAATAGGCAGTTTAGTTAAAATGGGGACCCTGGTTCTGCGCGACCGGCCTCTTGGGATTCCAATTATCCACACCAAGTGATATGATTGGAGATGAAATTGACGAACCACCTAAAGACTTGGATAATTTTTTTTCATTTTCCACAATAAAAAAAATAAGAAAAAATATTCTTGGGAGTTAATGGAGCCCACGCGGTTTTAAACAAGAGTTGGCATCCATGATTCTCTTCTAGGGTTTCCCTACCCGACAGGTACGAGCCGTTAGGACCCCACCCATGATGGACTAAACCGCTCCCTTTCCTGTCACTCCTCTCCACATCATACTTAACCCCCTTCCTGCATCGATATTCCCTGCTTCATGTAACCCTCATTTCCTCCTAACATTTTGTTTCTTTATCACACGCCACTCATTAACTAGTCTTACATCATTTGTTCCACCCTTCAATAAAAATCATTTTTAATTACCACTATTATTCAAAATTGGTGATCCCACGTATAGCTGGGTCCAAACGGCACAGCAGTTTAACAATTTAATTTGAAGATTCTAAAGCGTTGGCGGGACCCGCAGCATCGTATTTACTTTTCTTAATTAAAATTTACTGTGCTTTAATTTTTTATTGTTGAAACTTTTTTCCTTGTGCGGTAATACTGCAAAATATGAAATTAAAAGATACTCTTGCTCGGTCGAACATAAAGTTTCGGTTGCTTGACATAAAGTGAACCGAAGGTCAATTCAATGTTATTTGGAGAATCTATTTGCATTAATATTTTGTTACCGAGAACTGAAACATGCGAACAAAAGCTAGGCTGCTGGGCAGGTATGATTTCTACATCATGTGTATAAAGAAAATGAGATGCTCGATCCTGCGTTTATATGTACTTTTTTTATTTATAAATAAATTAAATACGAGTGGTGGAGTCGAAAAGGATGGAATATGGCTTCATTGATCTAGGGTCTCGACACAGTCCCAGCGGAGATCGACATGCAAGGCTCTTTAACTGCCCCCAAAAGAAATTCGTTACTTGTATTCCTTAAGAGTCATTGTGTTTTGTCTAACGGGACACGATGAAAATGACTGTGCAAATCACTTGGATGCATCATGCATGAAGGAATGATTCTTTCGGCAACACAAGGTTATTTATAAATCTTCTTAGATTGTATCCTTCATTCAAGCGTTGACAAGAGTCTGCTCTAATTAATGAATGGCCACCCAACCTCTAATCCCATAATTGCAATATATTCTAGAAAGTCATCCTGCCATCATTGTTTCTTTGATTTAATTAATTAGTCATCAGTTTTCTTAATTTACTGCCATGTGAAGCCAGCGAGGGGAAACAAGCCAGCAGAGGTTTAGTCTCAGGCAAGCATTTTTTTCCCCGAACTAGCGCTTAATGAAAGCTACTTGCTAGTGGCTATTTTGTTCCGTGCCTAAAAAGTTTTTTATTTTAGTTCTTAATAATAAGAATAATGAAGATTGATAGACAGAAGCTTAATCTCGACCCAATTTTTTTGAATCAAGTTGCGCGCGCAAGTGCACCATCCAAAGGCTGATTTTGAGTTCGTTGGAATAATATAATCGAGGCACGACCCTTATTAGCCGTGAAGATATATGTGGTGAGTTGTGAGGGTGAAATTTAATCCAGATGTAAACTTGAGTCTCACGTGTTGGTCTTTCTTTGTAATTAGCTACAATCCTGTGCGATGTATGGTTTGGGCAATTCAAAAGATGCAAATTTAAGTTTTGATGATATAATTCAGGTAATTATAACCATAACATTTGGCATGTGGTCAAGAAGGAAATGAGATATTGCTTAACAAAAACTACTTATTTGGCAAAAAATGTTTGATGATAAGGAAGTCATTCTTTACTATATGGGCACCTCAAAAACAATGTTCACCGAAAAGAAAAATCATGCATTTATAGTTTTGAGGTTTTGGAACACCTCATGAAAGATTACATTATTAGTACTGGTTGTTTTGAGTTATTTATCATTATCATAAATCAATATTATCAAGGCATTCATGTTTCTAACTTTATTGTAACTACAAAAGAGAGTATGAGTAGAAATTGCCTTTTCTACATGCGAAAAAGCTATCTACTTTTTAAAGAATTTATATCTATCTCTTGTGTGTAAAAACCTTTTGATTTAAGTTTGAACCATTTAATGTTAGTGCTTCGATTATACATTTGCCAAGTTGTGTGATCCGCAATTTTATACAATTACATAATCCAAAAACTTAGTCAATGTTTTTGAGAAGTATTATTGATATATCAATCTTGAGTGCAAGTTTTTGCAAAGATAAACTAGAACTACTAATCGTGTTGGAAAACTCAATTTTATAAAGATCTTTAAATAAGTCACTATCTTGGGATGATCTACAAATAGAGTCGCAATTAAAATTTGCTTCTGGTTCCCTAGGTAATATACTACAGTTGAAATCATTTATCTGGCTAACGTACTCAAAAGTTGGTGCAAGGATAGCTATATCATATAAGTATGTTCTGTTGGATGAATTATCTAATAAACATGGGTATGTAGATGATATGATCACAACTAAAAAATCTTTATATGAAGTAATCAATAACCCTAAAGTAATTTCAACATTTACAACACTATCAATTGATTTTCTAACCTCACCATCTCCTATATCTAATATCCATTGTGAGAATTGCTCTACTTTTTTCATGATTAGAGGAGTAAGAAGATGATGTTAGATGCATGTTTTTTGTCAACTTGTATAATACTTCCACAAATATGAAGAATTTATGAATGTATTGATTATGTCTACCCTACTACCATTTGGGATAACAAGAAGAATCTAATTGAAATCACTTCCCATGACTATAGACTTGCCCCCAAATTTTAGATCACAATGCATGATATCTTTCTTCCTAAGAGTGAAATTTGATCCAAATGTAAAAATGAGTGGATGTAAACTTGGGTCTCACGTGTTGGCGCCTTTCTTTGTAATGAAGTTGTCATCCATACGCATGCTGCCTCAACATCGGATCACATTACTACATTTGGCCGACAAAGTACCCCAACCGCGACCTTAAAATGCTTGAGGGGCCTGTTTCTGATTTTTAATTATTTTTTTTACAAAAAACTTATTTTCATGTTCAAATTAATTAAGCATAAACATATATATCTTTTAGGATTGCAATCTGTTTAAAGTTCAAGCTCATTTCCTCTCCCCAGTCTCATTTCAATCGTGCACTCCACGCAGCCAACCAAATCTCTCAGACTCAGTCTTTGTTTCAGGTTCCTACGAGTACTATATGTTCTGCTGAAGAGGCACCACTTCCAAAATGTGGGGCCACTGACATATGAATGATGGGTTAGAGTATATTCGAGGAGCTAGCTCTTTAATTACGTTGATGCTTGTAAAATTATGATTAAGAACAGCAACAATAATGTCATATATATGTTTTTCGTATTAAAATATTGATAACTTGACGGAGAATGGGCAATTGTTCTAGTAATTAAAGGTCAGAAGATAGTGTCGCGTGATGTCTCCCTCTTTTCTTAATGCTGGCGTTACTTTTACAAAAGATTTGTTTCTTCGCATTTTTCTACGAAAGATCAACTGGACGGATGGGTCTCAGGTTATATAGACGTGCTCTTGACTTGTAGTTATTGTCTGGATAAAAATATCCGTAATTAATTGCCAGAATCATGCTAAGTCTAATAAGTAATTATATTATATTAATAAAAATTCATCGATGTTTCTTCGTCATAGCATGGCTCCATAACGTGCCTAACACAAACAATTGCGTGTGACACAACTTGGAAGACAATCGCAACGCCGTGTCTTCTCCCAACCCTTGAAAACAAAGCAGGACGGTTATGATGCCCTAGCCCAATCCTCATTAATTATAAGATAATTTAAGGTTATATATGTAGATTAATGACAATTATATATTGTGTGACACGACACCTCACATGACAAATCAGCAAAAGACATGATTTTTTTTTTTTGAAGTCAAAACTAGTGGAAAATAAAACGG